ACCGCACTCCACCCCACCCCGTCCCCTTCCCTTTCCACGCGCAATCGAACAAGAAGCAAAGAGATGGCAGACTAGGGCTACTACGGAATATGAAGAATCTGCATTTTTTTGAAAGACTGGCAGATGTACGCATGCATCTATTCATAAAATATTTAATGTATAATAATAGCTGCGGGTACATAATTCTGTAACATCTGGAGCAATTTCAACCAAACATCGAGCATTTTATGTGAGCAGCGATGTCAGAGGACGAGATGGAATGTGTGGGCGTGGCATCCAAAATATGATTGTGTTAAGAATACCCAGACAATGCCGGGCAATCGTGTAGAAAAATACAAATCGAAAGAAAGCAAATATATATATTTACTGGAAGTATTTACCCACATAATAGATGATGAAAAATTATGTAATTGAATCCCTGTGACCTACGAAATACATCGGTATGAGAAATCAAGGTTGGCATCTCTTACTAAATTTTCATAAACATCAGAGTTGTGAACAAATTATGATTTCAATTACAAAGGTTGCTTGTGGGGGACCGTATGTCTAAATGCACCCCAATGGAAACACTAAGAACATGATTTAATTTTATCACAGTATTCCAAAACGCTAGAGCCGATATGATAATTATAAAGCTGTTGAAGATGGTGCTTGCAATTGTAAACGATGCAATTGTGATTTCCATGCTGCATCGCTTCGGCATTTGAATCATTATTTTGCCGACTCAGGTAGCGGAATCAATAGACGTCGCACAACTAGAGATTGTTGTCTCGCAATTCACAGTGGGTGCGTATCTTCTCATGTGTCAACATCTAAGCCAGATAATAATACTAAAACATTACGCTTCTATAATGACAATATATGATAAGGCTCGAGAATCATTTACAGGAATGCCAGCAGTGCGCAGTACTGTCACAGGGAGGGGCGCAAGGCTCTGTCGGGTATGGCCAAGCCACGCAGTGAAAGGTGGAGGTTGCGGGACATAACGATGAGTGTCGAGCTCCGATAGTGTTGATTGTCACGGGGCGCCACGACGCGACGCGACGCAGGGCACGCGGGGCGGCGCAGGGGCACGGGAGTCGCTTCGCGCTGCACAGTGCTGCGCCCTAGCGCGCGTCGGACGCCGCCTCCGCCACTTTCGCTCTCAATGGAGGTCCCGGTGCAGGTGCACCGAGTAACGAGTCATCCTCCGCGGCGGCCTTGGGCCGCTGGCGCCACCGTCGCCACCGTCGCGTGCTTCTGGACGCGGCCGCCATAAAGTCCGCGACCACCGCCGCGACTCGCCGCAACGCGTAACTGTTGAGCCGCTGCCGTCCGTCCTTTTTTGGCTCATGAATTCATCCCAACGGTCGAACGTGAATTTGTTAATTCCCGTTCCTTATACTTTTGTGCAATTTTTCGTTTTTCGTAGTAAATTGATTCGTTTTCAACAACACGCCTTCTACAATTTATCTGACATCTACATTAGGGAGCACTTTTGGATCCTTTTTTACTTTCGTGAATCCAGTACGAAAAAAACTATGTAAAGCTGCATAAATATGTACCGATTTTCTGACAAAAACATATTTTGTTACCCTGATACCGAAAAGTGGATATTCTTACTTCTACGAGTAATAACTTACTTACGTAACTATAGTAGTGTAATCAGAATTCACGTTTTGGAGAATTTTCTTGAAATGTTCACTGAATTGAAACTAAATAACGCTTAATATTTTTTCGTACGTTCAATTTTCTTTAAATCATCTGAAATTTTAAAAATTGCGAAATTTCAACCTAATTGTCAAGGTCTTTTTCTGACACTCTTCAACAACTACATTAAATTTAGTGGTAGTAGCATATATCTTCTGGTACTCCATTATGTATGTTGGGAAATAATCAATCACCTTAATTTTTTACTCACATAACTGCATTATTTAATACAGGTATTATATTAAACACATTTACATTATATAATATACAAATTTTAATTTCAGTACAATTATGGCATTTTTCAAAAATATGTAAATAAGTTGCTTTTTTCAGAAAGGATTCTAAATTGTTCTCTATTTTTTCTAGGAACAGAGAAAAATTTGCTAAATAATATAGCATAAGTGCACATGTTCGCATCTGTCCTGTATTTTCAATGCCGGAGTTTATTTTTATATGTAATCTTATTCTTCAATATTAGATCTGTAAATCATTGTGTATGCTCTTATTTCAAAGTATTTTCAGTTTTCGTGTAAGTTTGAGTTATTTCGTTTGAACTTTTAAAGAAATGGTTTATGTTACTCGGATAGTAGGTTCAAGATAATACTATTATGTAGACTTTACCAATAATATAAGAAAGAATGGTTTCTTGCTCCACTAGTTTAGATTAAATAGCATCTAGCGTTAGCGTATTAGGTTTTGGTGATTTTAAAATTTCATTCCATTTCATAATTGGATAGGGTGATGGACGTCGTGTTTAGATCGCCTTTCTTTTGCAGCACAACGACTCACCGCTAAAATCGTGATTTAAAGTGCACAAGTTATAAAGGATTACCAAGTCTGAGTTAATATTTACGTTACCGATGTATATTATATTTTAATGCCATTCATTTGTCTGCATTAATACATCGAATAATCTCTGAAGTTTCTCGAAATCTTGAAGGTTTTTTGTTTAAATATTTCATTCTTAATAGGAGCTGTGAAAAGTAAACTATTTGGCTGCAGTAGGCTGGCGATTTCCACGAACGTTCTCGTAATTAAAAGCTTGAATTTAGTATCAGTGACTTTTAGAGTATC